TTCTTAAGATTTGTAGCCTAATAATGTACATCCTTTCTAAAATACTAAATCATATCAAAATTTGTTTATAATCTAACAAAAACCCGCGCTTTTGAAGCGCGGCCGGTCAAAATCTAGTTTTATATTATACTCAATTTGTTCAGGATAAGTTTTTTTTAGACATTTTGTGGCACCGACAAGTTCACTTCTGATAAATAAAGATAATCAAATGACTGATTTAAGATCTTGAGGATAATATTATTTAACATAAATCTGTATGAAACGGGAAAAAACAATGCATCTTCTTTTAGTGATTTAGTCCACTTGTGAATCGATCTATCCACATACAAGAAGAAACACGTAGTTGATATTATGAGATGGATCAAGTGGTCTAGACTTAAAGGATTTGGATATATTATCATAAAGATTTAATTTCTTTAATTGTCGCAAAGTGTGATTCGAGGAGATTTGAACAAACTTTAATAATTAGTTATTATCATATCATTATCATAATTCCCCATCTCCATTTGTGTTTACAATTTTTTTTTAGTAGCTTTAGTCAATTAGAAGGAATAAACACGTTTGACTTTCAAACACTTGCGAATTAAACATTTTGAAATCGAAGACAAACATGGAAGCGAAAAAGATAAAGAAGTCCACAAAACATCAGTTGAACCTATAAAATTGGTTCATACTCAAGGGTTGTATCCAGTTTCGTAGAAGCTGGAAAAGGAGTTCTTATCACATGTTGCAGCCAATTAGGTAAATAAAGAGACTCATTTATTTGCAGAAAAATCAAATAGATTCGCATTCATTTACATGTGCTATAAGTGCAACCTCACACGCTGAACTTGTGGGCCAATTTGTGAAGCTACTTTGTATTATGGCAACTAAAAAGACTCGTTTGTTTGCAGAAAGATATTTTGATAAACTTTCTAACACCCAAGTCGAGATCAAACTTGCAAAATAAAACAGGAGGAATGTAAAAAGCGATTCTTTCTTATTCAAATGTTGTAAAAAGTTAAAAAAAAAATTTATAAGTAGATGGGAAGCCTTTCTTCAAAAATAAAAAAAATATTGTAAAAAGTTTGTCATTTCAATAGTCATACTTTTAACAGTCAATTTTAAACATTTTTAAGGTGAATACTCCTCAAGAAAACAAAATTGGGAGAAATAAACACCTAAGGAAACTTAACAAGACCATGTTCAAATATGTTAGAATTAGAATTGAGGTCGATGATGAGCAAACTGATAATCTCTTCAGAGAAATACGGCTGTGGAGAGTAGATAGAATCTAAGCAATGATATCTGCCAAAGTCAATGTTTACGTACATAAATAGCCCGTTCTAACTATGTTTCTATGTTATTGGCATATAAATCATGGCAGGAAACACTTTTTGGTGCATTGACAATCGTGTTTAAGGTTATTCTTCTTGTTATATTTACCCTTATGTTTTTTTTTTTTCAGTTATGGAAATTTGCAGTTTTCTCGAATAGAGCATTGACAAAAGTTTCTGCCAAAAATGGGATAAGATTTTGAGACTTCAAGTGAAAGTATTTTTAAAACCAAACGATAATGGGTGTATCAAAAGATGCATCATAGAAGGTAGAACATAATTGTTTTATGTGTGGTTTTACTTTAAGATTCAGTTCTTAGTTCTGAGATAGATATGTGTAATTGAGCTCATGTTGACTTAGCGTATCTATTAATGATCCGGTCGTGTCTTACCTTGTTGAAGAGGAAAATGTCACTACCTATGGGTAAGCTTTTGCTATTTTCCTCTTGTATATGCGCTTTGTTCTCGTGTCTCTGAAATTCTAGGTCCATGGTTAATAAACTGGTACATTGGTAGTGTATATCCTAAGTGGTTCAAAATTTGAAGTAGTCTTTGTATCGACGACAGCTATAATTGGTAACATCTGGTTATAAAAATCTCTTTTAGCATTTAAATTTTGAGAAAATTACATAGAGAGTCACTTTTGTACTTATTAATAACACTGTAAGACACTTTCTTATACTCAGACACTTTTTTCCAACTATTTTCTTAATTTTCGTTAGGCTTTCTAACTAAAGAAAAACTAAATTACAATTGGTGGCCCCCATAATCTTATCTTCTCTTCTTCTTTAATTTCTTTATGAAAACTTGAACTGAAATTTTCCCTGTGCATGATTCACGTTACCACCATGAACATTTCGAATCACAGCAAGCTCTCTACCGGAATCTTCAATCACAGCAAGCTCTATCCACTACAGTATTCTTCATTCTCCACAGGCTGTGTCTTCCGCCGTGTCTCCTAACCCATGTCGAATCATGAGGATCTCTAAAAATATGAAAAGATTGAATTATAAAATGAATGAAATCATGTGTAAATGAGTGAAAAAAAATCTTGAAACAAATGGAGGCGTCATTGTTACAGAGATTAGGTTAGGAAGAAGATGACATCAAAATTACTATTATACCCTTCATTAAGTTAAGTTGTTATCCACGTGTACAACGATTTTCATGTACACCAGTTAAATTGTTCAATTACTCATATGTACACATTATCGTAAATATCCACATGTATACTGGTTACTAAATATATATACATGTACACGAGTTACAAAATTTCTTGTTCAGCTACATGTGCATTATGTGCACATATGTTGCATTATACATATGTCCATGGAGCCACAAAATCTACATGTACACCATATTAGCCATATGTATGTTGGTTTATAAATATTTACACTTGCACCTTTCATAATTGTTATATTTTAAACATGATCCAGTTCAGAATTACCTCTTTTGATAAAAGTAGTATTTACAAACTGTTTTGATAAAGTTAACGTGTACACATAATTTTGCGTGTCTCCATCTACATTAATTTTAAAAGCTTACATGAACATCATTTGAATTGTAAAGCGGATACGTTTAAACATACATTTACATAAATACATTATAGATGAAGAATTTGATATATCAGTGCGACCAATTTTGGTGCTATAACGAGCAAACACTCTGAGTGCAGACTGAGCATGAGGACCACGTGTCATTGTTTTGTTACCACCAATAGCACATAGTTTCACACTCACGGTCATGGGCTTCACATGCATTGTCGTGATTCTAAATTTCTGAAATTAAAAAGTATGAACTACATCTACATAAATGGTTTATAAAACTGTCAACTAGGAAATGCATATTCTCTTGTCTCCATACCTTGCATCATTGAGCAACATCTTGTGCAACTAAAAATGAATCTCTAATAATATAGAATACCATGTGTACATAACATTTATAGTGTACATATGTACAACTTTATAGTGTACATATTTATAGTATACATGTGAAAATTGTGAAAAAGAATCTCTAATAACATAGAATACCATGTGTACAAAACATTTATAGTGTACATTTGTACAACTTTATAGTGTAAATTATGAAAAAGATTCTCTAATATGTTATTAATTCTGTTTAAATTTTTTTCCTCGTTATCACATTGTGTACACATGTACACTCTCTTCTGATTTTGGTGTACACGCGAACATTGTGTACATTTGGGTACATCGATGTACACATATACGCTATAATAGGCGTTTATGAAAGGTTGGAGCTTTTCGACGATGGTGGTGAAAACATGGTACAAAAGTCACTTCAACAAGCAGAATACTATAAGGAACAACATCAAGAAAAATATTACAAATTTATCAATAAAAAGATTAAAACAAACCAGCACATAATTAAATAGACTAAAGTTGAGAGCTTTGGTAATTATTAGAAATTCAAACAGTATCCACTGAATAAAATGATGGTGAGATTGCAAATAATCTCAAGAAAGTGAGATAGTAACAGAGATGCAGAGAACGGTGGTGGAGACACCAGAATTACCGTCACTTTATCGTCAACCCTCTATTGCTAATTATTTTGCCTCCAAGGATGATAAATTTGCAGGAATTTCAATCATGAGAATCACACAACGGCAGAGTTAATGAGGTTGTGTGGTGCGAGAAAGAAAAAATTGAAGCTAATTTAATGGCATAGATAACGAAGAACAAAATAAAGAAGAAGGGAGATAGAGATAGTGTTGAGATCTGTAAAAGTTGAGAAGAAATAAAGATGATAAGAGAGAAAGGGACCCACTAGTTATAATATAGTTTGGTTTCAACTAGTAAACTAATAAAAAGAGAGAATGGTTACTAATAAGTGCTCTAGTATAAACTTGTGACCCATTATGATATTAATTCTCAGAAAGTGACTCTGAATGTAATATTCTCTTAAATTTTCTGTTTGTATGTGAGCAGACAAAGGTCCATGCCTCGTGCAGAACCAACCACCATTACGAATGCTTGAAAGATACTGATTAACATGGAACCTGATCTGACAAGCCTCACGGGCAGTGTTTTTGAACCTCCAGTAGAAACTAGCCATCTGTCCAGCTTGTGTGTTTATATACCCGTTTTTTGACTCGCCTTAGTATATCATTCCTTATTATTTAAAGTCCTCTACAGAGACGCCATGGCGAAAGCAATAGAGCAGAAAAAGAACTCTGGAACTGTGGAAGAGACGAAGCTTGATATCCGCGATGTCGTCACCACAACATACGGCGGTAGACGCAATGACGTGGTGATGGTTGTGCTACGAGCCATGTGCATGGTCATATCGGTGGTGTCTTTGTTGTTAATGGCAGGCCTGGCCCAGTAATAGCTGATGCCTAAAGCAAAAATAATTTTGGTGCCCTAGTAGCCTCGAACCCGTCACTCTATACACAGAGAAGACATGCACAACCAATAGACTAACTTTTATGTACTTTTGATGCCCTTAAATTGTTATTCTCTTTTGGCGCCTAAAGCCCTAGCTTCATCAGCTTTAGGTCAGGGCCGGCCCTGGTTAATGGTGACAGCCCGTGAGACAAGCATGACCACTCTATACGGTTTCGAGTTTCAGCTCCACGCCGTCTGATGTCTCTCAGATTCCCTCATGTAAAGCCAACTTCATAATCATAATTACACTATATAATTGACTATAAGAATCACGAGTGGTCGTTAATGTTACATATATCTAGTGGTGGTTGCATCAGCGACGGTTATTTACTCATCCCTGCAACTAGTTTTAAGTGGGACAAGACTAATGAGAAAATCTCCGGTTGTTCCGACAAGAACACAAGCATGGTTTTGCTTTGTTGCAGATCAGATATTAGGGTATGCGATGGTGAGTGGAGGATCAGCTGCTTTAGGAGTGACGAATATGAACAGAACAGGAATCAGACACATGCCTCTTCCTAATTTCTGCAAGTCTCTTGGTTTTTTCTGTGACCATCTCGCAATCTCCGTCTTCTTCGCCTTGTTCGCGTTTCTCCTCCTCGCTGCTTCTTCTGTTCTCGATGTTCTCCGTCTCTCAGGCGACTGCTAGAGAATTATCATCCCTTCTGTTCTATGTGTTTCCTACTTCTTCTGATGTTTATCATCATACAATAATCATGTGTTGTTATTGGTGGTGTTTTTTTTTTCTGGAATTTGTTTGTTTCAGTCTATGTCAGTGAAACTTCTTGTTCCAAAGTTTTGAATTTTGTTGACTGAGTCCCATATAAACGACAAAAACGCTTTTATTACCTTTCTTGGCTACTTCAATACATAGACACAGTCTCTTCCTACAGTCTCTTCCTATATTCTCTACCATATTCTCTACATCTATCTCTGTATTTCTCTGCGCTCAGCTTTTGTTGTAGCTGTTTCTCTTGCCAGTATATGATTTTATGGTAGTATGGTTTTATTACCATGTATTGTGAAAAGGCACAAATCGGCAGAATACTAGATAAGCAAAAACCCTAATTTTAATTGCCAAATATATGTGTTAATTTTCGGATCCCTCTTTAGTTGTCTCTCCCTCTCCTTATATATGCACTAAATCCTTTTTCCGCGCTACGCGCGGATATTTTGTTTAAATTGTTTTTATTTATTATTTTATTTGTATGTGAATTTTTGTATATTAAATAATATTTAACTATATTTTAAATTTGATTTTTTTTTTATATTTTTCGGTTGAAGTAAGTATTTGAATATAATTCATTAGCGGTAATGGATAATTTAGTTATATAATTATTTTAAACTTTCAATTAAATATCGATCTATAATACTATTTTAATATATCTAATAGTAAAATATTAATTGGAATAAAAAATTTTGAATTTTGTAATATTACATGAATTAGAAGTCTTTAAAATCTAAAATCTATTTTATTAACATAATATATTATTTATTTATTTATTATTTTGACGTTACAAAATATTGCTTTAGTTTTATTTGTATATTATTTTTTTACTAATTTAGTTTCTTTTTTAAGTTATTTGAAAATGATCAAGAATATAATATATTTAAAATATTTTTAAATATATCCAAATATAATGTTACATTTTTATGTGTGTTTGCGTCGAGCATATTTAACTTGTTGTTTGTATACTTAATAACGCATTGTTGCGTGTCGTTATGTGGTTTTAATAAATGTGTTGTCATTTCATTTTATTACTATTAACATGATTTTTAGTTATTAGTGATAATGTACTTTTAAAATTATGTATTATATTTTATCCTATTTTTTTTATATAGATTTTTCATTCTTCATGTTGGTGCTTTTTTAGAATCATTTTAATTGGATAATAGGTTTAAAGATATCAATAAAACTGTGTTTATTGTAAATTTAGATTTTTAATGTAACTTAGCACTATCAATTATGAAAATTATATTATGATTTTCTTTTACTAAATCTTTCTTTCTGTGTATATTTTTTTGTTTTATTTTTTATTTTTACAATTTTAAAAATTACTTCTTTTCTGAATCTTTTTAAAAAACATTTTCGATAGGTATCTTACATTTAACAAACAACTTACACAATCTTTCAGTCTTTTCAATTAGATAAACGCCTAGGTTCAGGAACTTTCGAAATCCCAGCCGAGTCTTATATGGTCTTCTTGATGCTTGGTATCAAACAGATATTTCATGAACATAAAAACAGAGAAGAAGTGGGAGAAACATATTGATCGTAGAAACACGAAAAGGGAAGAGATGAAAGGATCCCGTGAAATTTATGGTTTTCGTTTTTTTTTCTTTCTAGTGGACTAAATGAGCCAAAGAAATAAAAGCTAATGGACCAAAATATTAGAAACTCAAATCGAAAATCGGTTGCTAACGTGGCAAAACCAAATGTTCTTATTGGTCGATTATTATCTAACATTGATTTTCTATCTGAGGTTCATACTGCCCTTTTGATAAAAGTTTAATTTTGATTATATATTTTGTATGTATATTATATATATATGTATAACTTATTTATAAAAACATAAGTAGCTAAACAATTACAAAATTATTTTAAATTATTCATTATTTGTGACTTATGCATTTTAAAATTTGGAGTATCAATTTTTTTTTGTTATTAGACATTATATATTAGGGGATGAGCAGTATAAAAAAATATGTTGTGAGAAAATTTATAGCTATATAGGATCATTGTGGGTTGGAGTATTATGGTGGCTTTGGTATAATGGTCCTCCAATATTTTTACTAATTTGAGTATTACAATTGTTTTGAATTTTCTCATTTTTATTTTTTATCTATCCTTTGTAGTCATTAGAGTTATGTTGATTTTCGAAGTGCTATATATTGTATTAAGTTTTTCGTTGTTGATGTTCTTTTCAAAAGAATAATTCTTAACTTTGCGAGGATTGACTAAGATTTCTATTTCAATGCTGGGCAAAAAATCCGGATCCAAAGAACCAAACCGAATATCTTAAAAAGTTGCATCGAACTCGAACCGATATTGATTCAATATTCGAATGGGTTCAAAATTTTGGTATTTATGGAACAGAACCCGACCTGAACCGAAGTATTTGGGGTACCCGAATATATCCGAAATATATTTATTTACCTATATATATTAATCATTTATATTTAATGTATATACAAAACATTCAATATATATAAAATACTTTGAAGTTGTTAAAAATACATGTAAATATATGTAAATAGTCAAACATACATGTCTAAAATTGCTAAAATACACTCAAAACATCAAAAATACTTTCCAAAAAAAATATTGATTCACAATCCAAATATTCAAATCAAACTAATTTATATGTTAATTTTAGCTATTTTGACTTCTTTTATTCAATTATTTCTAATATATTATTTTGTTTATAGATTTTTATAAATTGGAGTATATAATCAATTTTAAAATTTTTAAAGAGAATTTAAATGGGTTATCCGAATCCGAACCGAACCCGAACCGAAATTTAGAAATATCCAAATGGGGCTAAAATTTGTGAACCCGAAAAGATCTGAACCGAACCCGAATGGGTACCCGACCTCCCACCCCTATAAATTTATGTGTCATTTGTTTTTTGCCAAATTGAACAGGGTTTATTAAAAGAAATTCTTATTTAGTTCTTATCATAAAATCCGACATATATTTCTTAAATCATGAATTGTGTACCTTGTTTGTAATAGAAACATGTGAAATTTTGATGTTGTTGTGATGGGATTAATCGTAGTTTATGTATTATAAATTTCATAACAACGAACAAACTTTTTTTTCTCAAAACTATTATACGTCGTATAGTATTGCATCTAGTTTCGAGCAGAACTATCGTTTTTTTTTTTAGAACTATCGTTTGTCAACACTGTTACCATAAAAAATTTGAAATTTGATGATCAATTTATCAGACTGAAGGCCTAATGCATATTATTTAACATTTAAAACCACTGATATCCCAAATGACAGCATTACTTGTATTTGACATTCTAAAATTTTAGGAACCCAAAATGCTTGCCCACTAAAAAAAAAAAATGCTCACCCACTCGGCCCTTCACCAGTAGGAAAAACTATCAAAACTTTATGAAAAAATTGTGACTTCCACTCGATTTTTGTTTTCGAGACTTTGATGTGATTAAGCTTTGCTTTCTTATCAGGAGTTTTTTTCTCATCTCAACATTTGATATTGTAAGCGTCTCACTCTGATGTGAAGTACATGAGAACTTAATATCGAAAAGAGCATCAGATTAAGATTGAAAATTATTAAAAGCTGAATGAGTTGGACTTTTCTAATGCCTATGTATATGTAGCTTGGCCACACACTGAGCCCTTTTAAGCATCTGTGTTGCCACGTCAGAGACGGCGCCTGGGCCGTGGGGATAAACACCGACGAAGATTTGGAGTGAGCTCCGATGTCTCTCATCGTGTCAAAGTACTGAGTCATCATCAGTTCAGCACCATGTCCAACACATCCTTCCCTGACGTCCTCGGCACGTTTCCAGCGAACCCTAGTACACTGTCTCTCAGACCGTCCACGATAGCTTGTCTCTGACGAGCTATACCTAGTCCAGATAGGTTGGACCCAGCTTCACCTTCTGCTCTCTTTATCTGAATGATTTTCTCCGCCTCTGCTTTCTCGTTCGCCCACTCTCATCCTCGCCGTTGTAAACTATTTTTAAAACAGATGTTAACCTTAAGTTTGATTATGTGGTTTCTAAGATTTGGGAGGTTAGGACTTACCGGCGTTGATCAGGTTCGATGTCTATGGTAAAGGTTTGGAGGATCTCATAACCCCATAAGCAGTCATGGCTTTGTCAAGGTCTTCTTCCACGGATTTAGGATTTCATTATTCTGCTCGAAGACATTGTCCAGGTTCAGCTTTGGCACACATGCTCTGATCACTGAGAGAAACAGAACAACAATCAGAATCTTTGAATTACTCGGATGGTGAAGAAAATGGTGGTGGTGGACTTTCTTATTCCTAACATTATCGATCCAAATTTCATCCTCATCATCATCTGAACCCATCTTATACTAAATAAATAAAACATGGGTCACATTTCAGAAATCAACATCAAGATCATAGCTTTCAACAAATTAAAGTGAGTCAATGTTACTCACAACTCGTTCCAAAAAAAAAAAAAAAACTAAAAGGTAACAGATGTTAAAATCTACCTCATCAGAGTCAGATTCATCTTCGTCATCTAACTGAGATTCACCAGCTTCAAGGTTGGCCTTTTGATCATTCAGCCCAGTGGCATTTGTTTTCTCTAGTTCTAAATAACAGTCTGAATTTAGAAGTCGTGACAAAGCCACAAAACAAACTTTAACACAATAAAGTAAACCTACCAATTTGAAACCTATCCATGGTGATTTCTTCATCTTCCGAATCAAATTCTGGAAAAATTGGAACACTGACAAAATATAAACCTCCAACCTCAGTACGGATAAAACCGTCAAAGTATAAAACTATTAAAATTTATCAGAGTTGAAGTCACCTCTGAGCTGAGACCACAGTTTGATTCAAAATGAATGGAAACAAAACCTGTCTAACCAGTCACATTGGATATATCTGAAGAATCATGCGAGTAAATCCAAGAACAAATCAT